GAGACCACAAATCGGATCAGATTGCACGAAGCCCTAAGATATAAATAGTAGTTGGGGGAAAAACAAAAATCTCTCGACTTTTGTCCATCAGGATTGTTAACGTCAACTTGACTCGCCATTTTCAAAGCTCATGGCAACAAAATTGATCAACTGGTGGTCATTTCATTCACCTCCATCCACCAAACACACTTGTCTTCAGGCATGCTACAGTAGTGACAGCTCCCAGCGTCAGCTCTTTTGTTGTTGCTATTTAGGAGGGCTCGAGTGCTATTTTAACACCTGTGGAGAAGATTGCAAAACGGTCTACAACTTCACCCTCTCCACCATCGGTATGTCAAGTAGCAGCAAATATTGTTAAACTTACTTATTCATACAAATTGTAAAGACTGCGTGAATGTCTCAGTGTTTCGTTTTCACTCCTTTCTACCTCGTTGCGGTGTGCAGGCATCTGCCGAGCGTAAGGCGCGAGAGGATGCAGTGGTGTCCGAGGCTGTGACGCCTTCTTTGTCCAAGGTTTGTCTGTTTGCACATGCTTTATTAATTGCAATTCGCATTTAACGTGCTAACAACGCTTGCCATTCCTTTGTAGCAGGAGGTTGTGCAAGTAGATGAGGAAAGTAAGGTGACACGAAAACTCATCGGACCACAGAAACTGCCAGACTCGGTTGCTGATGAAGTGACTTACCTCTTCCCTTATCCACTGTTCGATTTTGTATTTGCAATTACCGTCACGTTTGTCTTGTGTCCACTTAGGTGACAGAGGGGGAACAGTTGCCACCTGCCTCGTCGGTGGAGGTTTCCTCCGACCTCTCGCCCTCACCGGAGGTTCATTTCTATGACATTATTGCATGCCCTATAGGAGGAATGCTGATGAGACCCTTCTTCTCTTTAGAATGGTGGGACTGAAGCTTACGACTACGACATGAATGATCCAAACTTCGCCCTATGGATCCCACCGACGGGTGCGTTCGCTTATTCCTTTTTTTCTTCACTCGAGCATTAGATTTTATTTTGGACAAGTGTATTCCCTCCATCAACCTCGAATGTGGGAGAACCAAATCTATTGTGTGATCACTATGCGCCTCGTTACTAAGTTAAATAAGGCGGATTGTGGATGCCCTCCAGTTATGCAAATGATGTAATCTGGCTATTCTTTTTCACAGATCAAACTGGTGATGGAATGACCAAACTCAATGAAAAATATGGTTACTGACAATGCTACTTTGTACTTATTTGTTGAGTTGAAATGTAAATCCTTTCTTACACATCTTTGTTGAGTTTAGTATGTTGGATGATGGTGTTGGAAGGTGTT